AAGTTACATTCCAAGTACAATACATAACTATCAACAAATGTAAACTACTGGAACCAGTCAACAAAACAGTAAGTTACATTCCAAGTACAATACATAACTATCAACAAATGTAAACTACTGGAACCAGTCAACAAAACAGTAAGTTACAATCCACATACAATACTTAACTATCAACAAATGTAACATTCAGTAAAACAGTAGGTTATACTCCACATACAATGCTTAACTATCAAGAAATGTAAACGGTTAGTATAACAGTAACTTATACTCCACCTACTGAACCCAAATAACACTCAGTGTAAGCTACTTTTCTATCACCTGTATTTTCAGAATATTACAAGTACATGTGTGTGTTTTGTAATTTGAGAGATCTGTCTTGTGTACTACGTTATGTATGTGTGTATTGTAATTCGGTACATCTGTGTTCTGTATGTGTTTTGTAATTTGATAGATCTGTCTTGTGTACTACGTTATGTATGTGTGTTTTGTAATTTAATTGATCTGTTTTGTGTGCCGCGATATGTGTTTGTGTTTTGAAATTTAATCGATCTGTTTTGTGTGCCATGATATGTGTTTGTGTTTTGAAATTTAATCTATCTGTTTTGTGTGCCATGATATGTGTTTGTGTTTTGAAATTTAATCGATCTGTTTTGTGTGCCACGTTATATGTTTGTGTTTTGAAATTTAATTGATCTGTTTTGCGTGCTGCGATATGTGTTTGTGTTTTGTAATTTAATCAATGTTTTGTGTGCTGCAGTATGTATGTGTGTTTTGTAATTTAATTGATCTGTCTTGTGTACTACAGTATGTATGCATGTTTTGTAATGTAATCTATCTGTCTTGTGTGCTGCAGTATGTATGTGTGTTTAATCAATCTGTCTTGTGTGCTGCGGTATGTGTGCGTGTTTTGTAATTTAATCGATCTGTCTTGTGTGCTACAGTATTTTTTTTTATTTAATTGAATCGATCTGTCTTGTGTGCTTCAGTATGCGTGTTTTGTAATTGAATCGATCTGTCTTGTGTTCTACAGTATGTATGTGTTTTGTAATTTAATCGATCTGTCTTGTGTTCTACAGTATGTATGTGTTTTGTAATTGAATCGATCTGTCTTGTGTGCTACGGTATGCGTGTTTTGTAATTGAATCGATCTGTCTTGTGTTCTACAGTATGTATGTGTTTTGTAATTGAATCGATCTGTCTTGTGTGCTACGGTATGCGTGTTTTGTAATTGAATCGATCTGTTTT